CGCTGCCACGGGAGGGTAGGACAATTTCCATAAGCGCGTATGACTATATTCGGAACACATGCCTACATTATATCAATGAATTGGAGCTAGTTCTGTGTCACCCTAGGTTATGACTGTTACATGATGAACCGCATCCAGCATAATTCTCCATCACCGATCCATTGCCTACGAGCTTTCCATATATTGTGCTTCACTTATTTACTTTTCCGTTGCTATTGCTATCATCACTACAAAATAGCAAAAACATTGCTTTTACTACTGTTACCTTTTGCTACTGTTACCACTACTATCATATTACTTTGCTACTAAACACTTTGCTGCAGATATTAAGTTTCCAGGTGTGGTTGAATTGACAACTCAACTGCTAATACTTGAGAATATTCTTTGGCTCCCCTTGTGTCGAATCAACAAATTTGGGTTGAATACTCTACCCTCGAAAACTGTTGCGATCCCCTATACTTGTGGGTTATCACTCCCCGAAAGTGAATATATGGAGTCAAGATGGACGTAGGTGGAGCATCAGGGGGCCCACAAGGCAGGGGGCGCGCCCAGGAGGGGTAGGCGCGCCCCCACCCTCGTGGACAGGGTGTGGGCCCCTGACGTGGATCTTTTCGCCAGTATTTTTTATATATTCCAAAAATAATCTCCGTTGATTTTCAGGTCATTCCGAGAACTTTTATTTCTGCACAAAAATAACACCATGGCAATTCTGCTGAAAACAACGTCAGTCCGAGTTAGTTCCATTCAAATCATGCAAGCTAGAGTCCAAAACTAGTGCAAAAGTGTTTGGAAAAGTAGATACGACGGAGACGTATCATCATGCAACGGTTATAACATAGGGTGACACAGAACTATCTCCAATTCATCAATATAATGTAGGCATGTATTTCGAATATAGTCATACGTGCTTATGGACAAGAATTTGCATGACATCTTTTGTCCTACCCTCCCGTGGCAGCGGGGTCCTATTGGAAACTAAGGTATATTAAGACCTCCTTTTAATAGAGTACCGGGCCAAAGCATTAGCACTTAGTGAATACATGAACTCCTCAAACTACGGTCATCACCGGGAGTGGTCCCGACTATTGTCACTCCAGGGTTGCAGGATCATAACACGTAGTAGGTGACTATTGACTTGCAAGATAGGATCAAGAACGCAAATATATTCATGAAAACACAAATAGGTTCAGATTTGAAATCATGGCACTCGGGCCCTAGTGACAAGCATTAAGCATAGCAAAGTCATAGCAACATCAATCTTAGAACATAGTGGATACTAGGGATCAAACCCTAACAAAACTAACTCGATTACATGGTAAATACCATCCAACCCATCACGGTCCAGCAAGACTATGATGGAATTACTCATGCACGGCGGCGAGCATCATGAAATTGGTGATGGAGGATGGTTGATGATGACGATGGTGACGGATTCCCGTCTCCAGAGCCCCGAACGGACTCCAGATCTGCCCTCCCGAGGAAGAACAGGGCTTGGCGGCTGCTCCGTATCGTAAAACGTGATGAGTCATTCTCTCTGATTTTTTCTCCCCGAAAGTGAATATATGGAGTTGGAGTTGAGGTCGGTGAAGGTCCAGAGGGCCCACAAGGTCGGAGGGCGCGCCCCCACCCTTGTGACCAGGGTGTGGGCCCCCTTCACTTGATTCTTTCGCCAATATTTTTTATTAATTCCAAAAGTTATCTTCGTGAAGTTTCAGGTCATTCCGAGAACTTTTTATTCTGCACAAAAATAACACCATGGCAATTCTGCTGAAAACAACGTCAGTCCGGGTTAGTTCCATTGAAATCATGCAAGTTAGAGTCCAAAACAAGGGCAAAAGAGTTTGGAAAAATAGATACGGTTGAGACGTATCGTACTACTTGGCGGTTCCGTCTGGAAAAGTTTGGCAACTCCGAAGTATGAAAGTTGGATAGATATGGTGGTGGAACTTTGAAGGATTTTGAAGGCTTTGGAGTTTAATCTTTATAAGCACATGGATAAAGAAACTAATCACATCATCCTCATCCCATTTTGATAGTATCAACATGTATGGACTCATTGTGATCTTATATCACTCAAATGAAAATGGAGAATCCTTTTGCTTGATCATTGTGATCTTATATCACTAAAATGAAAATGGAGAATCCTTTGGCTTGACAACGTTTGTCTTCATGTAATTTTGTGGGCGTAACCTTCCATTCATTTGTGGCACCCATAAGGATCTTTCCTATAATAAACTTGCAGTATGCATTATTTCCTTGAGATATACTGACATTAATTGCCAACATCCACCAAAGGGATTAGATGCACTTTCAACCTGTAAAGACAAGACCAAATACGAATGAAGACTAGATTCAAATAGTTCCACCGAAGACCAACACCGACTGAATCTTGCGAGATTCGACGGAGACACATCTCCACATGCCCTCTGATGATATAATTTTTTATGACATGCATTAACATTTAGAAGGCACTAAAGGATTTTTTTAAATCCTAGAAACTTGTACTACCTTTTATGTATAGGTGTGGAATATGTATATATGCATTCCCTATACTCATGCATGGTGACCAACTCACATACTACTACTACCTCCATCCTGGTGTATTGGTCATCTTCGTATTTTGTGCCAAAATTTAACCATAGATTTAACTGACAAAATGTTAATGCATGTCATAAAAATTATATCGTTGGATTCATATTTGAACATAGTTTTCAATGATACTATTTTTTGTGATACTCCCTCCATCCATATATATAGGGCCTAATGTGTTTTTTAGACATCCTTTGACTATTGATAAGATTAGTAATATATGAGATGTATAATGTGAAAATTATATCACTGGAAGCTCCTTCCACGCATGGATTTGACGGTATGCTTTATGTAATTTGCATGTCATATATTATTGCTCTAGCATATAGTCAAAGTTAGCCACCAAAAATGCATTAGGCCCTATATATATGGATGGGGGAGTACGCATTAACATTTTGTTAATTAAATTCATGTGCAAAATTTGGCACAAAATACTAAGGGGACCAATAATATGTCATTGAGGCAGGGTGGTGAGGAGCAATTATCTTTTGCAGATTAATGTATCATTAATATTTCATTGAGGCAGGGTGGTGAGGACTTTCGTTGGTGACTATGTCCAGGCATTACTGGTCCACTTATTGCGGAGGCTCCCGCTCTTCAGAAGGTGTGGTTTTTTGCTAAGCTACAAGGCTTTGCGCGAGTGGAGATGGAAATTGACCAATTCGATCAAAATTGGACAGGGAGGTTTGTATCGTGAGAGGTCAATTTGACCGAAAATGGAGCTACGGAGGTTTATATTGCGGCAGGGCTGCGCCTGTGAGAGCAACTTCGCTCTTGTATTGGACTCATCTTAGCATAGATGATTCGGTGCACATCCAAACTGCCAAATTGGTACCTAGCGAATCCCTCGGGCCACCAGAATCACTGGCAATACTATGCCTAGGTGCCACTCCTTCTTGCCTCAATGAGAAAAATTGTATACTGTTTTGCCTTGGGGGCTCCCACTTGGGCGATCTGGTTATCGCGTAATCGTGCGCCCTTTGAGAAAAAGTTGATTAAAACTCCGTTTGAGACTGTGTTTACAACTTGTTCTCTTGTTCTATATTGGGCAGGTCTGCAAAAAGGAGACGATGTGAAGAAACTTCGTGCCGGAGCAGAGATGATCTGTGTCGAAACAATGGCGTTGGTGAGGACCTGTGACGCGTCTTCGAAGATTGGAGGACAGTAAGAAGATGTGTTACCGTGCCGTGGCGTAGCGCGTAGAGTTTCTTTTGGTCACCCTAGTCTATCCTTGGTGGTGGCCTGCCTTGCCTTGACTTGTTTTGGGCTCCTGAAACTTTGGCTGATTTCAGTTTGTAATAGGGATAGTTTATTTTGGTGCCGCTAGGTTTTCACCCCATAGCATTCGTTTCAATGACGGGCAAATGCGGTGGGTTTTCTAGTAGTGCGTTGAACTCGCTTTCCCTTCTTTTCCCATTTCCTGAATTCTTTGTAATACTGCTGTTTTTCCGTTCTATGCAATGAAAAGGGGTTAGCCTGGTTCCAAAAAAAAGATCATAAGAAAACACAACATAAAAATCAAATTGAAGTAGTAGTATTTCCCAGTTAAAAAGGAACGGAATAAGCACAAGATGCACACAAACATATCGATTCACGGGGACGAGACTTACCCACTCCCCCGTCGTGTGCCCATCCGTGCTCCCGTCTACGTGGCTTGATTTAATTGGAACAAAATAAGGCTCGGCCCCATCTTCTTAAAATTAAGGGGAGACGATTAGATTAAAAAGAAAAGAGAAAAAAAAACCGTAGAATGAAGTGGAAACACAGATGAGAGTATGGGAAGAGAGCAAGCAAGCCGGATCCATTTACGGGAGGCGAAATCGCGGCAGCACCGGCGCTAATAAATCGCGCAACAGCCACCAGATCACCCTAGAACATTCCCGTAATCCCATCATTGACCGGAGGGGCAGCACTCGCAGCAGCAGAGGAGAGAAACGGCAACGGTAACGGACACGGACGCTACAGCGCGCCCGTTTCGGCCGCACGCGAACGTTCGGAAATTTCAAATACCGGGGGAGGGGAGGGCGAGGCGAGGCGTACGTACGTTACGTTACGGGCGGACCCAGCCCCGCCCGCGGTCAACCCCCTCCGGGCTCCGGCGCGGGCCCACGCGGAGATCGTCGCACAGTGCCGCCGGCCCCGCGTGTCATGGACGCGCAGGCCCGGTGGGTGGAGGGGCCGACGGGCGCGCGTGGGGTCTTTAAAAAAGGGGGTCGGGGCGGCACAGCGACTCCTCCTCCTCACCTTCCTTCCATTCGACTCCACTCCACTCCCCCCCTCCCACCTCACCCTCGCCTCGCCTTTTTAGAGAGAGAAACACGAGCTCCCCACCCCCACCCCCACCGAGGTAGCAGAGAGAGAAACCCAGCCCCAGACCTCCCCCCACCCTGCACCGAGTAGAGGAGGAGGAGATGGAGAGGCCGGCGCCGGTGAGGAAGTCGCACACCAACACGGCGGACCTGCTGGCCTGGCCGGAGGGGGCGCAGCCGGAGCTCGCCGACGGGGCCACGCCGCCGCCCAACCGCCGCCCGCACCAGGTGACTTCACGGAACGGAGGCGGATGCCCGCCCCCTGCTTCTCCCTTTTCGAATTGCTGGGTCAGGGGTTCGATTGTCTCGTCTCCTAACTCCTTTTCCCTTCTCTGCGCGTGCAGCCGTCGGAGGCGATCCACAAGGTGGTGTTCGGCGGGCAGGTCACGGAGGAGGAGGCCGAGAGCCTCAACAAGAGGTGAGATCGGGGGCATCTGGCCAGTACTAGTTGCGTGCTGGTTTCTCCTGCGGGGGAGGGTGCTCGGACGAACGATTTCGGGCTGTGTTCCCGTTTCGTTCGCAGATTTGGGCTTCGGCGATTATTAGATCTCTCGAGTTTTACGCCGCCTCCTTCGGGAATCGTTCGTCTCTGGGGATGCTTTCCTCGATCTGCGTATCTGGTGTCTAGGGAAATACGCCTGATTTGAATTTCTGTTTGGTTGGTGAGATATGTGCGCAGAATACTGCTGCTGTTGGATAGGCTTGTAGGGTCACATGGTTTGTGTGCTCGACTGCTCATGCAACGGTGTTTGCAGTTGCACCCACTGCGCCATACAAATTTTGTTGATGTGCTGTTGGGCGAGATTTTTTTTTTTTTTGAATTTGAGCTGATTACTGATGTGTTTGCACCCTGATTTGTGCATAAACATCTTAATTTGCTTTGTTCTTTAGATCTTAGATAAAGAATGTTCCTGATTTACTTAATTACATGGTGCAGTTCACTGAATGAGCTGTTCATTTATTTACTTAATTTTCTCCTCAGGAAACAATGCTCGGCCCCCAAGTGGAAGGAGATGACAGGAAGCGGCATATTTGCAGCTGGAGGTGAGGCCGAGGAAGATGAATCCGCCAACGCTTCTGCAACACCCGTCCGAACGGCTTCAAAGAATTATCAGGTGCTGCTTTCTGCGAAATCTTTTTTTCTTACAGAACAGAAACATGCTGATTAATGCGCCCTTTTTCGATCTGCGATATTGCAAACTGAGTTAGCTGTTATGCATTGCTAGTAAGGACCATGGATTTTTATTTATTCGCATGCTGTGCTGAATGATTGAGAGGGTGGCACTTAGTATCCCCCTGATTTGCTTACACATTTGATATTAGCTGCTGGTTGCTAGAATCAACCTTGTTAAATGTTCTAACCTCCAGGTCAGAAGTTGTTGGGATGAATCTTGTGGAAAGGGTCTGGCTATATATAGTTAATATGTGGTCACATTGGTTGGTGACCTTTCCTTGTAAATTCTAATAGAACTGGACCTTGATTCAACTATTAAATAGGCCTTTGTTTTCCATTGCTTTGTTTGGTAGACAGTGGGATTTAGGTAGTCAGGTGAGTACTCTTGTTTTTTTCTTCCGTTCACAAGATACAGCATTGCAGCTTAGGTGTAGTGCTTCATGACATTTCTTAAAAGTAGATAGGAGGACTACATAATTAACTAGAGAAATACTCTTAAGTTAAAAAGTACACTATAGAAATACTGTTACTGCACTCAGTTTTTTCACCGGTACTCTAAAAAACTGTAAATTCGGCGCCTCTGATGTCATGAATTACTTGCATATGCATACTGTAGTAAGGACTAATCGGTAGTGTGGTTTGTACGGTTACAAAACTAAGTACATTTCGCTCCATATAGACTTCCTGACAGAGCTCAGTCTGATTTTGTCAAACTACTACAGGCAATCAGTACCATAAGTCACATCTCCTTTGCTGAGGACGAGAGTGTCTCCCCCAAGAAGCCAACCTCCATAGCCGAGGTGGCAAAGCAGCGCGAGCTAAGTGGCACGCTCCTGAGCGAGGATGACAGCAAGCTGAAGAAGCAGGTATCCAATGCGAAATCAAAGGAGCTGAGCGGCCACGGCATCTTTTCTCCTCCAGAGGACCTCAGGCCACGCAACTCGGAGAACGGCTCGACCTCGCAGACGCCAGGGAAGAACGCACAGGTTCGCATTCCTCAACAAACACGTCTCCTCCTAATCTGGACACCGGACGGTTTCCCAGCTCTGAATGGAGTGCTTATATGCTTTCAATCACTTTCGGCAGGTGAGCAGCATCAAATTCGGAGAGGCCGACGACGCCGACAGCGTGGTGAAGACCGCGAAGAAGATCCCGACGAAGAAGTTCAACGACCTGACGGGCAACAACATCTTCAAGGGCGACGCCGCGGAGGCCCCCGGCACGGCGGAGAAGCAGCTGAGCGACGCCAAGCTCAAGGAGATGAGCGGCAGCAACATCTTCGCGGACGGCAAGGCGCCGGCCCGGGACTTCCTCGGCGGCATCCGCAAGCCCCCCGGCGGCGAGAGCAGCATCGCGCTGGTCTAACAGCGACGACAGCAACCCCTGATGGACAGGACAGGACAGACATAGCCTACAACATTCTTCGTTCTTCACCTTCACCCCGTCGCCGTCTCGTTCGATCTAGGAGTGATTGATTTCTAGGGAGCTTTTTTTCTTTGTCGTCGTCGTTCGTTGGTGGGACTGATCTGCGATTGAACTTCTGGTTTGGTTTTTTCCCCTTTCCTTTCCCCGGCGCCGGGTGCTGCTTCCCCTTTCCCGTTCTCGCTGTTAATTAATCCTGATGGTGTGGTTAGTGGCTGCGGCAAGCAAGCAACGTTGATGGCTCGTTGGCTCGTCGTCGGGTCGCCTCTAAGTTAACAACAATTGGTGTGCATCTCGCTGCGTTTGTGGTTGGGTTGGGTTGGTTGGTCTTGGCGTACCTAAAGTGAGTGATGTTTCAGCTGCTGCGGGATCTTGGATTCTCTTTTCTTATTGCGTGCTGCGTCTCGGATGCCCTGTTCGTCCGTTCCTGCAGCAGTGCCACCTAACTTCGTCCAACTACGACTTTCTGAGCGGCGCCAGCGTCTTTTCAGATTGTACCGTGACCCCCAGCTTTCTCTCGCGGGTGTGTCTAGGCCACATCTAGATGTGCTCTAGTTATTGCACATCTAAATGAGTGAGTTAAGTATAGAGAGAAAAAGAAAAAAGAAAAAGAAAATATCTACACGAATCTCAATATAAAATCAATAACATAAGATTTAGATGTGCAATATTTATAGCACATCTAGATATGCTTTAACAAAACTGTTCTCTCGCTCTCGTCGAGTCTGAATTGCGCGCGCACACACGGGGCCCTCGCGACTGTTGCGCGCTCTTTGGATACGAACAAGTTCGCGGTGCCTACAAGCTGGCTTTTTTCTTTTGGGGCATGTAGATGGGAGTTGCGCCTTGTGATAATGATGTGATTGATTAGCACGCAGGCACGCTTGGCATGGGATTGTGTACCGGCAAAAGCTTCGGCTGGCAATGATACCGTGACGTCAGTTGTGGGCATACGGGTATTTCTCATCATGATGAATAACTCCCAGATCTCCAAGTACATGACGAGTCTGCGGACATGTACGCAACCGTTTTCCTTAAACGCCTGCTCAGTTTTGGCCAATTTGAATTTCAGATGCATAGCAATAGCAAGTTAAAGTGTGGTTTCACACAACGCCCGATCATATAACAAAGAAAAGGACCATGTTCATAGTTTTTACATGCCCAATCACGAAAGTATCTTAATATGTCCGTCCGTGAAAAAAATGGATTTTTTTTTTGCCTTGGACCGGCTATCCGAGCCTCCACGCTCACTTTGTCATCGACTCCTCCTCAGTTGCCTCCTTCTCAGTCGCCTCTTCCTCCGGCGTCTCGAAGTCGGCTTTCAAGCGCTCCAACATTCTAAGATGGACGGCTTGGACGATCATCCTTGCATTGTCATCCAACTCGTCCATCTTCAAGGTCAACATGAATCCTCCGAAGCGACTGCCATCTCAACCTTCTTCTCTTCAAGCTAGGTCTTCTTCTCTTGGAGCTTCAGCTTTTTATCTGTCACCGCATTTCAACCTTTTCCTCCTTGATGTCAGAGCGCTTGACACATGCCTCCTCCTCCTTCGCCGAGATGTTCTCGAACTTCTTTGTCATCTTGACTGTCGTCCCTTCTTGCTTCTCCTTCTCCTCACACTTCTTTCCTAGGAACTCTCTTCTAACCTTTTTAAGCGACTTTTTTGTTGGTTAGGTTGGATTATCTGCTTCTTCGCCGGTGCTATTGCCAACGATCTTGATGCTGTTGACAATGAATTAATTTCAATTGGGTTGCCCACTTAACATCAACCAACAATGCATGAGGACGAAGCTCCTCTTCACCACCTTCAAGAACAAGTTGCACACACAGGAGGGTAACAAAGAAAAACATTGTCAATAAGTTGCATATCCGGCCAAATGACCAACACATAGAGCATATCCGGCCAACAAGTTGCATATCTGACCAAATGACCAAGTTGCACACATATAACAACTTATTTGCTCGGTGACTTGCGCACCACTTAGTTGTTTCAAATGGCCGCAACAATTGCACACGGTCTCTTGGATGGTATAACATCAATGGTTGAGCGACTTAGTCCCATGACTGCGGATGAGTTTGTCGCGGTAGGCCTCAAAATTCTTGTGCTCATCGAACCAAGTATGGATGTGGGCCCAAAATATATACCACGCCCTTTTGCTTCGACATGGATCAAATCGATACTAGTGGCCAACCACGCATCACAAAAAAACTCGTCCTCCCGCGTGTTGAAGCTTTCTTCTCTACCACTCTTTTTTGGATGGACCGCATAGTCCTTTGGATCAAGGACATCGTCGTCCTGCTCTAAAATATTCTCAAATATTCGGAGTACACAACCAAATACTTTGAATCACTAATTAAGGAGTGGCCTTCGCAAAGGTCGCTCCACCTCCCTCCAGTCCTGACAAGGGCACCACATCTTGCAACCTGGGATTTTTTCTCTTTTTTCGTTGTTCTTTCGAAACATTTTATCTCTTGAATTGTGTGTCCAAATCACGAACCTTATTCATCGTTGGATTTCTCATGTCGAGATCTCTGAAACAAGATCCCCGACTAGTAGGTTTCGACGTCCTTTTTTAACGAAAAACCAGAAACTAAAAAATCAAGGAAAACAAAATTGAAAACAAGGAAAAACTGAAAACCGGAAGAACATTTGTGCTTTTTCACTTTGTTTGGGGAAGCACACTATGCTTTTCCCTTTTTCAGGAAGCACAATTCACACAAGCACAATTGTGCTTCTCACGGAAGCACCTTGTAACGCCCACGATGCGGCTATATCTCCCACGTGTCGAGGCACGACTTAAAGGCATAATCGCATGGTGGTTTTGTCGCAAGAGGGGCAATCTTCACACAATCCCATGTACTGAATAAGAAAGGGATAAAGAGTTGGCTTACAATCGCCACTTCACACAAATAACAAGTTAAACATACATCATCCAGAGTACAATCAGGGTCCAACTACGGACCCAAAATAAAAGAAGACAACCCCAAATGCTAGATCCCCGGTCGTCTCAACTGGGCTCCACTACTGATCATCCGAAAAAGACACATAACAACGACCAAGATCTTCATCGAGCTCCCACTTGAGCTCGATTGCGTCACCTGCACTGGTATCATCGACACCTGCAACTATTTGGAAGTATCCGTGAGTCACGAGGACTCGGCAATCTCACACCCGCGAGATCAAGACTATTTAAGCTTATGAGTAGGATAAGGTAATGAGGTGGAGCTGCAGCAAGCGCTAAGCAAATATGGTGGCTAACATACGCAAATAAGAGCGAGAAGAGAAGCAACGCAACGGTCGAGAAGCTAGAAGTGATCAAGAAGTGATCCTGAAACTACTTATGTTATGTTCATACATAACACAAGACCGTGTTCACTTCCCGGACTCCGCCGAAAAGAGACCATCACGGCTACACACGCGGTTGATGCATTTTAATTAAGTCAAGTGTCAAGTTCTCTACAACCGGATATTAATAAATTCCCATCTGCCACATAACCGCGAGCACGGCTCTCGAAAGTTTATACCCTACAGGGGTGTCCCAACTTAGCCCATCACAAGCTCTCACGATCAACAAAGGATATTCCTTCTCTTGGAACAACCCAATCAGACTCGGAATCCCGGTTACAAGACATTTCGACAATGCTAAAACAAGACCAGCAAGACCGCCCGAATGTGCCGACAAATCCCAATAGGAGATGCACATATCTCGTTCTCAGGGCACACCGGATGGGCAAGACGTCGGGTTGGCATGGACCCTGGTTGCCCAGGGGGCGCCGAACATCGCCCAGTTCGGACCAACACTTAGAGAAGCACTAGCCCGGGGGGGGGGGGGTTAAAAATAAAGATGACCCTCGGGAGCGCGACTCCCTAGGGAAAAGTAATAGGTGGTGGTGGCAAATGTTAAAACCAAGGTTGGGCCTTGTTGGAGGAGTTTTATTCAAAGCGAACTGTCAAGGGGGGCCCATAACCCCAACCGCGTTAGGAACACAAAATCAAGGAACATAACACCGGTATGACGGAACTAGGGCGGCAAGAGTGGAACAAAACACCAGGCATAAGGCCGAGCCTTCCACCCTTTACCAAGTATATAGATGCATTAATTAAAATAAGAGATATTGTGATATCCCAACATATCCATGTTCTAACATGGAACAAATTTCAAATTCACCTGCAACTAGCAACGCTATAAGAGGGGCTGAGCAAAAGCGGTAACATAGCCAAACAACGGTTTGCTAGGAAGGAGGGTTAGAGGCTTGACATGGCAATATGGGAGGCATGATATAACAAGTGGTAGGTAGCGCGAGATAGCGATAGAACGAACAACTAGCAAGCAAAGATAGAAGTGATATCGAGGGTATGGTCATCTTGCCTGAGATCCCGCGAGGAAGAAGAACGAGTCCATGAAGTAGACAAACAGACGTAATCGAACGGATCCTCACAAACGCAACGTTACCGGAACTAACAAGAAGAAGCAAACAACATGGTAAACAACCATCACATAAACATGGCATGATGCACAATCAAGTATGATGCATGTCCAGATTAAAGAGGCTTGGTATGGCAAAGTGCAACAAACAACACTACAAGTTAAGTGGAGCTCAATATGCAACGAGATGCATATTGATGAAACACCACATTACTTATTTAGTTATCTCCCGTTTATGTACTCAACAATATTAAGTGTTATTAAACATGGCAAGAGGTGAAGCATAATAAAACTACCTATCTAGGCAAATTTAAATGAGGCCGGAACAACAAGCAACAAGTCTGGAAAAATCCTCATATGCATATTATGAATTTGGTGCTGTTATGCCCTAAACCATATTTTAGAGTTGTTAAACATGCAAGATGAGTGAACCATGTTAAACTAGGCATTATTCTACCCCATTTACATATATAATTTATTTAAAACCGAGCTACGGTTAATTAGTTATGAATTAA